AAGACATAAATTGGTGTGAACATACTTTATATACAAACAGAGACATGAAAAATTGTGCTCTATTTGTGTGATAAGAATTGTAATGCATTCTGCTGTCATGTATTTAAAAAATAAAATCAATTAAAAAAAAAAAGGAACTGGGGTCCTCCCTCAACCAACAACCCACACAAACTGGATTTTTGCCAATAACTCTGTAAGAGAGATTAGAAGTAGATCCTTCTGCAGCCAAGACAACATCTCTGGCTGACATCTTAATCATAGTACTTTGTGAAAGACTTTGAGGTAGAGGCACTCAGCAAAGCCACACCCAGATTCCTGATCCAGCAAATTTATGAAATAATAAAAATAAATGTTTTTAAAACCTCTCTTTTCTCTATATACACAATATGTATATGTATACATACATACACATATGCATATATATTCTGAATAGATTATCACAATGGAAGGAATCAGGTATTAATGGAATGTGATTATATGTCCAACCACACAGTTAATATCTACACTTGGATGTTTCTCAGAATCTCAAATTGGACATGCCTACAACTTGACTTTTGATTTATCTTAAATCCACCCTTCTCTAATCTTCCATATCTTTCCAAATTGTACATTTATCCCTTTGTTTATTAATTTGGAAAACTGGACATCACTCATCCATTGTCTTTATTGAGTCATCAACAATTTTATTAAGGATTTTGACAGCAGTGATCTTGCTGACGCTGAATAATATAATAATAAAATAGTCCCTACCATCATGAAGTTTACATTCACTTATCCCAAAATTAAGTCTTACTGAATGTATTTTCTAAATATACCTTCAATATATCCACCTATTTCTCTATCCAGTGCCTCCCCTTTAATCCAAGTCAGCACTATTTCTTGGCAGTGTCATTGTCATAGTCTCTGGTCAAGTCATCCTATTTGCACTGGTAACCCTCAAAATCATTTTTCCATATAGCAGCTGGAGTCATCTTTAAAATTCAAACCATATTCTGTTATTGTCTTCTTTAAAACCTCTTGAGATCTGGGCATGGTGGTGCATGCCTGTAATCCCAGAAGGTTGGAAGGCTGAGGCAGAAGGATCACAAGTTTGAGGCCAGCCTCAGCAACTTAGTGAGGCCATAAGCAACTTAGCAAAACTCTGCCTCAAAATAAAAAATGTAAAGGGCAGGTGTTGGGACTGAGAATGTGGCTGAGAAGTAAAGCACCTCTGGGTTCAATTCCTGGCACAAAAATCAAAATCAAAACCAAAACTAAATAAAAACAAAACAACAAAACAACTCCTAAATATAATGGTATTTAGGATAAAATTCAGATCTTTAATGTGGTTTGCAAGGTTCTGTCTACCTTGCTCGTCTCATCTATATATTTTCCATTTCCAGCCTCCTTACCCCTTTTTAAATGCGTGAGTCATACTTTTCCTGTTTTTAGGACCTTGATACATGCTATTCCCTCTACCTGACAATTTCTTTTCTTTAATTCTCCTTCTTATCTACTGGCTAACTTCTAGTCAACGTTCAGATTATTACTGAAAGAAGCCTCCCCTGACCACCAGACTAGGCTCATTATAAGCTCTCTTAGTGCTATTGTATTTCCCCTTGATAACAGTAATCAGGCCTTCAAAGACCATATATTATAATGGGGCCCAATAAGGCAGGAATCATGTCTGCCTGTTCATTGCTGTATCCTTGTCATCTAAAACAGTGCCTTCCAGGTGACAGTTGGTCAGTAAATGTTTGTTACATAAGTGAATGAATGAACCACCCACTATCAGACTTGGTGATTCCTCAATGTTTACTACTTCTGGGTGGCTTTCCCAACCTATCAACTGCAGAAGTTGGAAGCCTAAACTTACAGAGGTGGGTTAGGCTATACCACTCTCATACTATTATTATTATTATTTACTGTACTGATCTTTCTGACATTTGCCCATAGTTATTTTTAATTAATTTCTTGTGGATTGTAGTAGTGTGGGAATAGAGCACTCTGCACCTCTCATTTTTGAAAACTTGGAAAATATGAAAAAAATTTTTCTGTAAACTAGCAATAAACAATCAGAAAATAATATATAAAACAATAATATTTACAGTAACATTAAAACATCAAAGATATAGGGGTAATTTAATAAAAGACATGTAAGACCCTTTTTCAACTTTCACTATAGTCAAGAAATGGAAGCAAACTAAGTGTCCATTCACTAATGAATGGATAAAGAAAATGTAACACATACACACACACACACCAATGAAGTACTATTCAGTGATACAACAGATGAAATCCTGTCACTTGTGACAAGATAGATGGAACTGGGAATAATTATGTTAAGTGAAATAAGCTAGGCATCATCTGCATCATCTAACTTGTATCTAGAATCTAAAAAAAGTTGGTCAACTCATAGGAGTTGAGACTAGAATGAAGGTTATTAGAAGCTGGAAAGAAAGAGAGTGGGGTAGGGAAAGATTGATCAATGGGTACTAAGTTACAGTTAGACAGGAGCAAGAAATTCTGTTGTACTCTTACATAGTTGGGTGAATACAGATAACAGCAATGTACAATATATTTCTAAAAGCTAGAAGAGATGATTTTGAAAGTTTTTGTTATAAATGATAAATATTTGAAGGATACGTATCTCTAACCTGATTTAAATATTGCACAATCTATGTATCTAAAAACACATAGCACCATATTAATATAAACAATTTTATGCATTGGTTTAAAAATATTTTTTAAAAGGCCTCTAAACTAAAAAGCTAAAACCAGAGCTGAGAGAAATTTTAAAACATGTAATTAAATGGAAAAATATACCATGTTCATGGATTGGGAAAGCTCAATATTATTTATTATGATCCCCTGCTTCCCAAATAAGAGATATAGATTCAATGCTGTCAAGTTTATTCTCCTAGAAACTGACAAAATGATTTTAATTTGAATGACAAAGGACCAAGAATGGTCAAAACAATATTGACAAAGATAAAATGGTTGGAGGACTTGCCTACCTGATTTTTCAAAAGCTATTATAAAACTACAATAATTAAGAAAGTGTAGTATTTGAAAAATAATAGAAAAACAGATAATATGTGTAAATATATTGATGAAATAATTTTCAACAAGAGTTCCAAAGCAATTGATAGAAAAGGAAAATATTCTCAATAAATACCACTGAAAAATATGGAAAAGATCCTTAATCACCACCCCACCAAATTGCTACTTTATACTACAAGGAAAATTCATTTTAAATAAGGTAAACAGAAAGAAGAGTCAACAGCTGTTAAATAAATGCCCTTTGCTCACCAGATAGTCACTCTCTCTCTTAATATACTGCAACAACAGGTAATACACAAGCTAAATCCAGTGCATGCAAGTGACACATATTTGTTGAGATGCATGTTGACTTTTCTTGCTTTTAAAGGTTTAGCAGACCCTTTGGGTAAGCACTTAGATTCAGGCTGAAGATATAAAATCATGTAATTTGCTAAATTCCTTTTAGAGACCAAAACCCAGGCATCATTTTATAATAAAACCAACAAAGCCCACAAAATCCAAGACAATAAAGAAACCTACTGTGAGTAACCAGACATAAGCATCTTCCTACCTACCACTATTTCTCCTTTCACTCATTTCAACTCCTTTCACAACATTTCATGTTACCTATTATATCCAATTTGGCTTTCCAAATATGAGTATTTTATTTTCCTTTTTTTCCTGATATAATTTATATTTCAAGCTTTCAATGCACCAACAATTAGGTGCTTATATAATGGGAAATTTAATTTGCAGGTGTTATTCAATAATTTTGGAGGATTTTGTAAAACTGCCAGTTTAGGTCAATGTTATCCAGAAAACTCATACAATCACCTGATTTCTAGGACCAGTCCATGTCCAGCATTCTGTGCTAGCCCAAGGTCACTTAAGCCATTTAAACTGGCCTAATTTCCCAAGCCTCATAGGGAGAGAATCCCTTTGTATCACAGGGAATGATAGAATAGATGTAGTGGGGAGAAAAAAATTCTGTCCAGCTTCTAGTAACATTTATAATTTATTTTGAAAAGCAAGATTCAGCATGAAAAGAAGCCTGGGACACTTAGTCACAAGAAGTCCTTCTGTGAAACAATACTTTTAAATTGGGTCTAGCAACTTCCGTGAGTGTTTTTCTTAGATTTATTGAAATAATTGTCTAACATAATTAGTCAAAATGTCTTTTCGTCATGAGAGGAATTTTCTCAAATAGAAAATAAAAAATCCATGTGTTGGATAAGAAGTGATAAACAATGATTCTGAGTAAGATTTGCCTCCTGCCTCCTATTTTTGTATAAACACAATTTGAATATGAAGGTGAAATTATATTCAAACAAATATAAAATATATAATCACAACATGTTACCTACTTACAAGGCCCAAAATTCTGTAGACCATCTGACATTCCTGTTATCCATACCATTGTCCCTAAAGCTCAATTATGTCAAATATTTCTCATTCGGGGGCTTTTTGTTTTGCTGATAGAAATGTTCTTTCCTATGTTAGCTGAAAAGATTTCATGATGGTGAAAACCTACCTGTGACTGAACTTATTTCATCAAGAATTCTGCACATTGAAGGGTGGATTCTGGCCTAATCAGAATCATCTCCTTGCCTCAAAGGTTTCCTGCAGTGAGGTTGCTATTGAGTCATGAGGATCAGAGCTTCCAGAAAGGAAATACTATCTCTGGAATAGTAGGAGAAGAACACACCTGGCAGGAATCTGGAATAATAAAGCTACAGTCCCCTAAGTCCTGTAGGGAAGGAATTCAAGACAGGACCATTTTGGGGTCTTCAACTCTTCAAAACCAACACAAATAATGCCCCTGAGGAAGAATTAAAAAAAGAAAAAGAAAGTAAAGCTAAGGTAATCACCAGAAAAAAAAATTAATTTTGGAGTCAGAGTGTAACTCGGCAGGAAGATTGTTGAGGTGTGGCAATGCTTCCTACAGGCTGTTAGCGAAGACTGTGAGAAGCATGTTGGTGTCAAGAGGGCACTGGCTGTCCACTGTCTAGATGGTGACTAGATCTATAAACAGTGGCATCATGATCAACTTGCTGGCTCTGAACCCCAGGCTTGGAGACCAGGTAGCCGGGCTCCACAGCTTGAGGCACAGTGTCAAAGAGCACTGAGCTGTTGGGTGCCAGTGTAGGGTACAGCACCAGTGGAGCTTTGTGGCAGTAGTTGCCTACTAACAGATGCAAGTTCAGCGCCAGCAAGCCTTGGTCTTAACCTACAGGTCAGCTCAAAAGAGCATAACTGCTTGTGGTTGAAGGCTAGCTGCATAAACACCACCCCGCTCTGTTGGCTCACAGACATATAGGCCCATAGTGCCCAAGGTGCTGGGTCATTGGCCAGGGAGGAATTGGAAACATGGCCTTTGGTGCCCGAGTCAGGATCAGAGGCACTGATTTGAGCGAAGGAAGCTCTGAGGAGGGTTGTGCTCAGCCAAGTGTAAAATATTCGGGGCTTAGTTGGATACAGTGGCCCTCTTGTTGATGATGTATAGGGCAATGCCTGTGCTGGAAGAAAGGGGCAGCTTGCTCTTGTCAGTGGTTGTGAGTGACATTGTGTCTGATCCTGATCGAGGGTCTCATCTGTTACATCTTGGAGGAAGATTAAATTCTGAATGGTGAATTTATTTTCTTGTATCAGACATATGTCCACCTTATTTTCTCCCAAATCTGGATTTTGTGTTTTAAACAGAGAGATTACTGTCTGGGATGCAGAATCTTCTGGAAGCATTGTGGAATTAGAAGTAAAAGTCACCTCTGGGATACTGTCATTATCTTCTAGAATTTCTGTCTCAACAGTACACTGATTGAGCCATCAGTCTTCTCTCCTTGCCTCCAAAACTGAAGAATATTTTTTAATCTCTCCAAAGTCCAATGTACTTAAATTTTTTGTTTCTCCACTCTTGTTTTCAAGGCCAAATTGGAAATTGGTACTCTGGGCTGCAAAGGCCTAAATGATCTCTGTATTAGTTCCCACATCCTGGTTGATGCTTCTTACCCTCAGCATGGAGGTGCCCAAGGACATGTCTTCTGAAGGACCATCCATTACATGTCTTCGTTGAACACAGGGGGTTGTCATTGGCATTGACCACCAGGATCTGAGTGTTGCCATTTATGGAAGGTCCCCACTATCTAAAGCTGTTAGCACTAGGAGATGGGTACTATGGTTTTCCTGGTTTAGTGGCTTGTCTAAGATAAGTTCAACATATTTCTTTCCACTGTTGGTCTCTTTTACTTTGAAGATAAATATAGAATTGCTGCTAAGGTAGGAATTTTGAAAGGAATTGCTTGATACCTTAGGGTCTTCCAAAGATTATATAGTAAATCTTGCTCGTGGTTGGGTCAACTCAGAGATATTTAACTTAATAATATTCCTGCTAAACTGTAAGGTATTATCATTCACATCCTGATTCTCTATGTTAAAATGAAAAACATTTAAAGGATTTTCAATTATGGTTTCTAAATGCATGTCATGGTAAAGCCATGTCCCCCATTAGGTATAGTTCCCAAAGATGAACTCAAAGTGTAACACTAGAGAATCTCTTTCCTAAGATAAAGACTCTTTAAGCTTGATCAACATCTCTTCACAACTATATGAGGAAAAAGTAGATTTCCCACCAGAATCACCAATTCCAGATCAGAGTTAAACTGTTACATACTACTGAGAAACTATACACAATTTAACAATATTAACACTCACAAAATTGCTTACAATTGTCTCATTATATCATTTGATTTCCACATTATTGAAAAATGATCTATAAAGTGTATAATTTGAGCAAGGTTCTTAGGCTGTTGTTAATTCAATATTTCTTTTTTTAATATTTATTTTTTAGGTGTAGATGGACACAACACAATGCCTTTATGTTTATGTGGTGCTGAGGTTCGAACCTGGGTCCCACCCATGTTAGGCGAGCGCTCTACCACTGAGCCACAATCCCAGCCCTCAATATTTCTTTTAGGATGAAATTAGTAGAAGAATGTTTGCTGACAGATTACATTTCAATATCCTGCAGAGCCTAGACTTTTAAGTTATAGCCGAACACATCAATTAACTTATTAAATCTAATGAATGAGTACCCCTTGCCAGAGCACATAGGAAGACAAGCAAAGTCCTTGATATACTTTCATTATTGGAACCAGAAGAAATATAAACATCCAAACCCATTACTCCAGCCTTGGAAAGCAATCAACAAATATTTTAGTTATCAATTATCAACAACCATCCTAAATGATCTAAAATTAAGATTGTGTTTTGTACATCCAAAACTAAATAACTTCAAACTTTAGGTTTTGGTGATGTGTTTTCCAGTTAAACTGCTTTTTGTTTCCTCAGTACTGGGGATTAAACCCTGGGTACTCTTCCACTGAGCTATATTTATATCCTCAGCTCTTGTTTCGTTTCTTTTCTTTTCTTTCTTTCTTTCTTTTTTTTTTTTTTTTTGTGTGTTGTTGTTGTTTGGTTTTGAGGGGAGGCAGCAGGGGGTAGGGGGTATACTGGAATTGAACCCAAGGTGCTTTACCACTGAACCACATCCCTAGCTCTTTTTATTTTTTTATTTTTTTAATTTGAGACAGGTTCTCACTAAGTTGCTTAGTGTTTCACTAAGTCATTGAGTCTAGCCTCAAATTTGTGTTCCTCCTTCTTCAGCCTGGGTTCCCAGGATTACAGGTTAGTGTCACCATGGCTGGCCTTTCCCTCTTCTTTTAAATTGTTTGTGTGTGTGTTTTTATTTTTGAGACATTGTCTCACTAAGTTGCCAAAGTTGGTCTTGTAAACTGCTTTTTTACAATAAGAAGTTTGATAGGACCTTTGTTTAGATCACACTATTCAGACAAAAAAAATTAAGATTCACAAATGCCTCAGATGAAAATGCCTAGGAACTTAAGATTTTTAAGTCAGCCTCCAGTGGTCCCATTGTATTACTGGGAGACGTACATAATTCATTATGACTTTTCCCAATAGAATGGCAAGTATGCTGGCATTGAAAGCATGAATTTTTCTGTCAACCATAAAAAATGGCTACAGTTAATTAACTACAAGTTATGAATAAGATTATTTATATATTACCCCTAATCCTGATCACAATTTTTCAAATTAGGTATTATTATCCCTGTTTTACTGAAACTCAAAGAGATGAAATAACTTCTCAAAGGTGAAGAAGTTACCTATTTGCAAAACTCTGTCTTCTATGATACTACATCCAAAAACTCATGACACTGTTATCATTCATTAATAAACAACTGCTTAATGAAGACTTTCCCACTCAAACTGATTTTTAAGATGGTCTAAGAGTCATGAATATTCATATCCTAGCTCTTACTGATTTGTCCTTAAATCAAGTTAGGTGAACAGATATCAGCATAATTATAACTTATTGGCTAGATTCTTAAATAATTTTTGTTTTTTAATTACAGCTTTCAGTTTGAGTTGCCCATCATATGTGAACTGCCATGTGATAAACATTTTGATAGTTTCTGCAAGAGTGCATGCACTGCTATCTATTTCTCTTAGTGTTAGTCATAGAACATTATACTTAGTAACTTCTATTGGAACTAAAAGCAAATTTTCTATTTTTATATAGGCTCAAATGCTTCCTGTTTTTAAAGCACATAAGTGGAACCACACAATCTATATTACTTCTATTTTGTTGTTGATGTTGTTCTTGGTTGTTAAGAAGCATAAAGAGATATGTGCTCTTGGTAGAAGAAACTGCGTCATTTTGGAGCCATTTGATTACCTTTCTTTCTCTATCTTTTATAAACCTAGGTGTTGACTACTGTATTTTTAGAGTAGACAGGTAACAAATAAAAAGAAAAAAAAGTTAATTTGGATGTTTTGCTTCCCTACCCCTTTAAAAGGGGATACAAAAGAAACCTTTTTGTATTCCCTTCTTGCTTTCTCAAGAGTAATATACCTTTGCTTCCAATTTCTGTTAAACTATCTACACTAATCATAAGGTTTTCAGGAAACAGAATCTGTGCACTTTCATGAAAACTCTCCATGTTTATAAAAGTTATAGAAATTTTAATGTAGAAAGAAAGGGGATTTCTGCAAAGTTCCCATCATACCAAAAATGTGCCCCCAAACACATTTATTTTCATTATTTTATTATTAAAATATTTATTTTATTATTAATAATTTATTATTAATAAAATATTTTTTTGTGGTGCTGGGCATCAAATGCAGGGCCATGCATGCGCTAGATAAGTGCTCTCCCACATTCCCAGACCTTTTTTTAATTTTTATTTTCAGAGAGGGTTTAACTAAGTTTCTCCAGCTTGTTTGGAAATTGAGATTCTCCTGCCTCAGCCTCCCGAGTAGCTGGGACCAAAAAATTTTTTTTCTAAATTTCTTCAAAGAAATTCTCAGCTGAGTAGATGGCAAAGATAGTTCAAGTTATCACTGTGCCATTTTGTTAATTCTGAATACTTCACAAAGTCATCATTAATATGATTGGTACAGGTAAAATGAGCAAAAGAAATGTGTGACTTTATTACAGTATTTTTTATGTATAATACATATATGTAGTATTACTGAAATGTATAATAGAGGTAAAAATATCTTCACAGCTCCTCATGACAATTACATTGTGTATTTGAGAAAACTTCCAATGTATAAGAAATAAACCGGCCATATTTGGAAATTTAATGAATAAAAACATGAAATGACTTAAGACACCAAGAAAGTATAAATGTATATATCTCTGATAACCAGAAATTAATGTTCATTAACTAGCAATAACCACACATCAGATAAACCTCATTGGTTACGATACTGCCACTGTGCAAAGCTTGAATTAATGTCCTTTAAAAGAAACTAAATGTACTTTATAAATGTTAGCAATCTCAAGTTTAGTTAAAGGGTATTCTAGGGCTGGGGTTGTGGCTCAGTAGTAGAGTTCTCGACTGGCATGTGTGAGGCATTGGTTTGATCCTCAGAACCACATAAAAATGTACTGTGCCCATCTACAACTAAAATATACACACACACACATACACACACACACACACACACACACATATTTTAAAGCCATTCTATTGGGACTGGGGATATAGCTCTGTGATAGGGAGCTTAGCATGGTCTGGTCCAGCACCACAAAAATATATACATATATAAAACTTTTTCTTTCTGGTGTTGGGGATTGGATGTAGGGGGAATTCTACCACTGAGCTACATACATTCCCAACCCTTTTTAAAATTTTGCACAAAGTCTAGCTATGTTGTAGAAGCTGTTGTTGAATTCAAGATCCTCCTGCCTCAGCCTCCCTAGTAGATGGATTTACAGACAAGTGCTACCAAGCCCAGCAAGAATCTATGTTCTTAACCGATAAATTGACTTTAAATGTTTGACACAAAGCTGCTACATAGCTAATAGAAAAAATATTATAATCAGGAAGAGTATTATAGTTGATAAACTAGAAAACTATATAGAATATTAACTAAGTACTTTATAATTTGTTTATATAGTACATAATAGTACATTAATAATATTGTCATATTGTTTATATAAAAATTTAAATACATATTATATATGTTTGTATATACTCATATATACACATACATATATATTTATAAACAAGGCATGAGGAAACAGAACAACTGGGTTGTGGGCATGTGCGAAGTGCACGTGAATTTACTGGCATCTGCTTTATCAATTCTAAATATACATGAATCAGCTATACTAAGAGGTATTTTTGATCATAACTCAGAGAATATATGATATGGACTCACCTGAATTAATGCATGATTGTCTTTAGAGAAGACCAAATCACCTGCCAGCAAAAGAGGCTCACTTTTCTCACAGCTCTCCTGACTGATGAGTGTGTCTGCGTAGTTGGGCTGCGGAAAGATCAAATGGCTTTTCCGAGAATCGGCAGTGAGGGAGACCTCATGCGAATAGGTCTGTAGAAAAGCGCGCACCCCGTCCACGCCCACAAAGTGAGAGGCGGGTACGCCAGCCAATCCATTTCCTGCAGCCTGGAGCTGGCGCAAGGAGTGCCATCGCCTCAGCCTGAGCGCCAGCAACACAATAACGAAGGCCAGGAAGACACAGGACACTGCAGCCACCGCCACCACCAGGTAAAGTGTGAGGCCTGAGGTTTCAGAGTTGGCAGGAGACACTAGAGTGCCCAGATCTGCGAGGACGTCGGGGATGCTGTCGGCCACCACCACTGTGAGCGTGACAGTGGCCGAGAGAGGGGGCCGGCCGTGGTCCTGCACAGCCACCACCAGGCTCTGCTTGAGGGCATCTCTATCCAGTAGAGTCCTTGTGGTGCGCACCTCACCGGTGTGTAGCACAACAGAGAAAAGACCTGGCTCGCTGGCCTTCAACAGGCGGTAAGACAGCCAAGCATTCTGGCCTGAGTCCTTGTCCACTGCTACTACCTTAGTCACTAGGTATCCGGGCTCTGCAGATCTGGGTGCCAGCTCTACCCCAGTGGAACCATCAGTGGGGAGGGCAGGATACAGGATCTCAGGAGTGTTGTCATTCTGGTCCAGAATGAAGAGGCTCAAAGACACGTTGCGGCTGAGTGGAGGTTTCCCACTATCACGTGCCATTACTTGCAGCTGTAGCTCTTGGAATTGCTCATAGTCGAAGGAGTGCAATGCGTACAGAACGCCGGTGTCTGAGTTAATGGAGACATAGGAGGACACGGGTGCCCCCTGGAGGTTGTCCTCAGCCAGGGAATAAGTGACCTGGGCGTTCTCATCACAGTCGGGGTCGTGTGCAGTCACGGAGATGATGGAGGCGCCTCTAGGGTTATTCTCTGGGAGATAGGCAGAGTAGGAGGCCTGAAGGAAGACTGGCGAGTTATCGTTTGTATCTGTTACCTTCAAGGAGATATGAGTTTTAGTTGATAGGGGCAGACTTCCCCTGTCAGTGGCAGTCACCGTGATGTTGTAGCTATCAACCTGTTCCCGGTCAAAAACTGTGTCTGTGACCAAACTATAGTAATTTCCGTAAGATTTTTCTAATTTAAAGGGCAAATTCCCTTGAGTAAAACAGACTACTTGTCCATTTTCCCCAGAGTCTTGGTCATTTACTTTTAGAAGGGCAATTAATGTCCCTTTGGGAGAGTTTTCCGGAATTGAGTTGGTGAGAGAGGTGACGATTATTTCAGGGGCGTTGTCATTTACGTCCAGAACTGTGATCAGGACCTTGGTTCGTGCTGAATATCCTGCATTATCCATTGCTTGCACTTCCATCTCGTAGACACCTGATTCCTCATAGTTCAACTCCCCTATTGTTGATATCGTCCCTAAATTACTATCTAGTTTGAAAACTTGGGACGCCTTATCGTCCACGTACCGGAAGGAATACATCACTTTCCCATTGGCTCCTTCGTCCTGGTCAGTGGCATTTACTAGAAGCAGCTGAGTGCCCACCGCCACATTCTCCGGAACACTCACGTGATACTCGGACTGAGCAAACTCTGGTGCATTGTCGTTCACATCAAGAACTATCACGCGGATGTGCGTGGTGCTGGTGCGGACCGGATCGCCCCCGTCCAAAGCCGTGAGGACCAGGTGGTGTGCGGCCTTTTCTTCTCGATCTAGGGCGTGTTCCAGCACCAGTTCCGGATACTTGTTACCGTCTGCTCCGTTTTGCACCTCCAGGGAGAAGTGAGGATTCGGGCTGAGCTTATAGCTCTGCAGAGAGTTCTTTCCGATATCTGGGTCCCAAGCGTGGGGAAGGGGGAACCGCATTCCAGTGGCTGCGTTTTCACTCATTTTTATTTCTAATTCACTTTCACGGAAGTAGGGAGCGTTATCGTTAATGTCCCTTACTTCTACTTCCACCCCGTATATTTTCACTTTATTCTCTATAAGAATCTCTAGATTTAATTGACATTTGATGACTCCCATACAGAGTTCTTCGCGGTCTATCCTGCCTGCCGTGACCAAGCTGCCGCTTCGCGGGTTCAGAGCGAAAAGTTGAGTGTTACCTCCAGAGACGATGCGAATTCCTCCCTCTGCTAGCTCCCGGGGCTCCAGTCCCAGGTCCTTGGAGATGTCGCCCACCTTAGAGCCTTTCTCCAGCTCTTCAGGAATTGAATAGCGTATCAGGGTGCATCCGGCTTCCCAAAGGATCCCTAGGAGAACTCCCAGCAGGACCAGCCCCTTGCCATCTCGGTGAAGTCTTGCAGAAATCATTGTGTCACTTTCCTCTAGGATTATTTCTAATTCTACCCTTGACACCGAAGTCAGGATCAGCTCTCCTGTCTCCGGATAGTTGAGGCGAGCGGGTGGTGCGAGCTCCTCCGTTCAGTTTCTTCACAAAGATGGTCTGTTTCAATCTATCTGTGCTTGTGTTTTTGGCGCATGCAGGCGAACAGGATCTCTGCTTTTCTCTCCCTGATTGGTGAACAGCGGCGCTCAGAGTCCTATCCAATTACTGCACAATCTTGAATTCCCGGGAAAGGATTTTTCATTTTTATACCTCAAATAGCTCCACCTACTGTTCGTCAAATAAGGATAGGAATGGAGCCTACTAAACCAATAGTATTTCTTTGAGTAGAAACTTCAGTTATTTTAATTCCCTTAACATTTTCCATATAGAACCACTTTAAGATTGTTTTCTGTAGCTGTTTTCCATTTTTTCCAATCACTTTTAAGAGACTTTGAAGTTTCCATAAAAGTAATTTTAATCTCATGATTTTAGTGCACTTGCTTTGAGATCCACACCCCTCAACACATCTATTATGGGAGGAGGCTCCCTAGGAACTTCCCGTTTTGATAGTTTTTGTAATAAAATAATTAAAACTTTCAGATTCAGCTATAATGTGGGGCATTTTTTTCAGTAGATTTTTTCGTGTGCCTAAATGGAAGCACTACTTTAACAGTTTGGGATATAACACTTAAAATCGAATTTTCATGATTGTAGGGAAAATTAATAATGAGAAATTGAACACATTATCAGAATCGTACCTGGAAGAAGTCAGGTGAACATGTATCAATGATTTCAGAATTAAATGGAAGTGTTTCAACTTGCATTAACTGGAAATAAAGGTAATACTCTACAATTCTAATAATACATTATAGGGGCTGGGGTTGTGGCTCAGTGGTAGAGCCCTTGCCTACCATGTGTGAGGCACTGGGTTTGATTCTCAGCAGCACATATAAACAAATAAATAAATAAAGGTTCATTGATAACTAATAAAATTTTTAAAATAATACATTATATTTCAAAAGAATGTTTTGTGTTCAGAAAATCTTATTAAAAGAAAATTAGTAATCCAAAGAATGTTATAAACTTACCTCTTACTGGGTAACTGAACTACTTCCAGTTATTGAGAATTACCAGTATTATATTTGGAAACGCATCAAAATACAGGAAAAAAATCCTCCTAAGAAATAACTGGCTACTATGCTTTCATGAATGTAAATATTTACATTCTGAGGATAAGCACTTTTGGAAAGGTACTAGGATTGAACCCTGGGCCTCAGGCACTCTACAACTGAACTACAATCCAGTCCTTGGTAGTCACAAAATAATAACTTAAAAATTGGAGGGCTGGGGATGTAGCTCAGTGGTAGAGCTCTTGTCTAGCATGTATGAGGCCCTAAGTTCAATCCTCAGAAATTTTAAATAAGTAAATGTTGGGAGGGAATTTAGAGTTACCTGTAAAGGAAGATCAGACATAAAACTGACTACTTAGTGAAATTCCAAGAACCCCTAGTAAATATGTATATATATCTGAATATTATTATCAAATAATATTTTGATATACCTGAATATTACTATCAATATTACTGTCTTTATTTCTGTAAAAAAGCCTTATGTGTTTCCTCTCAATTTATAGTTAATAAAGAAAAAGCCTTATATCCTCAAGATATTGATCGCTCAAGAAACACCTACAGTGGCACATGCCTATAATTTCAGTGACTTGGGAGGCTGAAGGAGGAAAACGGCATTTTTGTGGCAAAGCTCAGCAACTTAGCTAAGTCTTAAGCAATTTAGGGAGACCCTGTCTCAAAATTTTAAAAATGACCAAGGATGTAACTCAATTGTAAAGCACCCTGGGTTAAATTACCAGTACCAAACAAACAAAAACAGGAAAGAACAATAATTATAGTTCAATTTAAAATATTTACATGGCAGTAGCATCATAATGCTTACTTCTTACAGAGTTTGTTTTGTTTTGGTTATTTGGTATGTGTGACTAAAATATCCCAAAATGCTGGAAGGTAAAGTAATCTACAATACTGAGAGTGAGCAAACAAACTTGAAGCAATTACCTGCTTAAGATTTTCTTGCCAAAATATTGGTTTGAAAATTAAACCAAACCACATACAAATAAAGGACTCATTGAAACTCACGTGAGTAGAAGCAACAGAGTCAAAATTTATCTTGTTATTCTCCACAGTGACATTTACTGCCAAAGTAGCTTCATTAGAAAGATCTTGTTGGGGGAACATTTCTGGCGTCATAGTGAGAAAATTAAACTCTGTTTTGCGGGAATCCGAAGCAACGTACATATTGTATGAATAAGGCCAAGTTCCCTCATTGTAGTTGAGAGAAACGCTTGGCCTAGCCTGAGAACAGAGATCATAGTGAAAGCAACCCCAGGAAGCAGAACTGGAGGAGTGACCCAGGCGCATGGCAATAGCCAGAATCACTGCCAGGAGGAAGAGCACTGAGATAAAGCCCAAGGCCACCACCAGGTAAAACTGTAGCTCGTCTTGGGGGTCAGAGGGCACAGGGCGGTCACTGAGGTCTGGCAGTGCCTCCTGCAGGCTGTCAGCAAAGACCAGGAGCAGAGTGGCTGTTGCCGAAAGAGGTGGCTGTCCACCATCACGCACAGCGACCAGCAGGCGCTGGCGAGTCGCGTCCTTGTCGCCCAAAGCGCGAGCTGTGCGCACCTCGCCGGTGCGCAGCCCCAGGCTGAAGAGTCCGGGGTCGCTGGCCTGCAGCACGTGGTAGGACAACCAGGCATTGTGTCCAGAGTCAGCGTCCACAGCCACCACCTTGGTGACCAGGTAGCCGGGCTCCGCGGCGCG